GTCACAAGAGAAGCCCAAGGGTACTGGAGCAGGTAGCCTATCCCTTCTCCAGCAGATCTTCCCAACTCAGGAATCAAACCGGGGTCTTCTGTGTTGCAGGCGGGTTCTTTACCAACTGAGCTATCAAGGAAGCCCAGAAAGAGACAGACAAATATCATGTATTAATGCATATATGTGGAATCTAGAAAAATGGTACAGATGAACCTATTTGTAAGGCAGGAATAGATATGCAGACCTACAGAACAGACGTCTGGACACAGGGGCGGTGGTGGTCTGTCTTGTTTACTGATCTATCCTAAGTGTTTAGTACCTAATAGACAGTAAATGATCAGCAAATATTTACCGCCCGGGGTAACACATGTGAAATAAGTTACTGTTTTCTAAAGCTGCTAACTATGGGAATCCTTGCCAAGTTTGGAAGTACTATTGTGTACATTTTAGATGACATTAACTCAGCCTAATAATCAACTTCTTGCCTCTCTGGTTATTTATTCAATTTTCCCTGATTTTGTGTGCATTGATGAAGCTCAGAAATGCTTACTGTCTGCTGTGTTGAACATGCTGCGGATGGTGTCTGTGTTTCTTAGGTCTCCTCTAGAAGGAGAGAGAGATACACAGGTGTATCGGCAGTCATAACAAAGTCTGACTGTGTGTGCTGTAGGGAATAATCTGGAGGTTTTGAAGATCAGTCTGGTGCAGACACACGCAGACTCAGAGTTAGTGCCAAGGAGAGGCATTTGAAATTAAGTGTTTGGCTCACAGGTCCTAAACGGGAAAGGCATGCAGGGGCCTTAGGGGCGAAGGGCACAGGGTCTGAGCTTAACCAAGCAGGTGGGGAGCCGGCAGACAGCGAGGCCCCATGAGCAGGTGCCTTTGGGGGCTTTAGAGTGGGGACACAGCAGAAGTGTGAGCGGCTGTCACTTGGTGTGTTTGAATGTCCCTAGGTCAGTCAGAGGGACAGGGAGGGGAACTTGTGGTAGAGACCAGTCTTATCACCATGGTGTACCTGTTCCTCGGAGTCAGGAGCTTACAGTCTGTGGAAATGCTGAGGCATCCAGAAAATGCTGTTTTAAACATTTATGTTACACTGGGTGATGTTAGAAGTAATAATGCACCAGGCTTTGGATCCACATAGAAAAAGGTGTCCTGGCCATCTGTAAACAGCCTGCTTTAGCCTGAAAAGTCCTTTCCAGTGGCATTGTTGTCCTAAAGGCAGGCATCTAGGCTTGCAAAGTGAAGTGAAAGTATTAGTCACTCAGGCATGTCAGACTCTTTGGGACCCTGTGGACTGTAGCCCGCCAGGCTCCTCTGTCCATGGAATTCTCCAGGCAAGATACTGGAGCGGATTGCCATTCCCATCTCCAGGGGATCTTCCTGACCCAGCGATCAAACCTGGGTCTCCTGCATTGCACACAGATTCTTTACTATCTGAGCCACCAGGGAAGCCCTGTGTAAATATGCAGGGTTGGTGTCTGTCTTCTTTCTTCTGTCTCTTTGAATGTCCTGTTTCCAGCCAGAGCTAGACAACTACAGAAACAGCTCCTGGCTGGCTCCTCCCACCCCCTGCAGCTCACGTTGATCCTCTAATGTTTTTATAATCAGTCTTGCTAAATACTTCCTGTAGAGAAAAGGAGTAGTGATGAGAAGTAAACTTGCTGCTTCTTTATTCTGAAAAATTCAATGACTGACTTACAGATACTGCTTATCCATCATGATATCCCAGTGTGGAAGATGGGGATTAAATTTCAGCCTCAAAGGTTATGGGATCCCTCAAGGCTTGGAGTATAGTAATGGAAAATTGAGAACCTAAAATAAGGGATTTTAGAATCTGCATAGTGAATAAACTATTTTATCATTAGGTATTTGTTCTGCTGTGAATTTAGGATTATGTAGATAGGACTGTGTCATGTGCTTTTTCTAGAGCCTTAGAACTTTCTCTACTGTATCTTCCATTGCTGTTCAGTTGCTCAGTCATGTCTGACTTTTTGCAAAGCCATGGACTACAGCACTCCAGGCTTCCCTGTCCTCGCCTATCTCCTGGAGTTTGCTCAAACTTATATCCGTTGAGTTGATGATGCCATCCAATCATCTCATCCACTGTCGGCCCCCTTCTCCTCCTACCCTCAATCTTTCTCAGCATCGGTTTTGTTTTTCTTTTTCCAATGTATTGGCTCATTGCATCAGGTGGCCAAAGTATTGGAGCTTAAGCATCGGTCCTTGTCGTGAATATTCAGGGTGATTTCCTTTAGGACGGACTGGTTTCTTTCTTATATTGTCTTTCTCTTCAGTTTAAGGCAAATTTTCTTTGATTCTTCTGAGTTCCTATATAATTTCTGAGCCGTTCCCCTCTGGTCTGGAGTGTTACTAATAAGATTTTCTAAGCACTGCTAAAAGCCATTACCTGACTTGATATCCCAAAGACTTATAGGTCACCCCTTTCTTCTGAAGACTAAGATGTCTTAATCTTCACCTGTGTATTAGGAGTAATACATGCTTCCTAGGGTGCATGGTCTTCCTCTGCCTCAAATCTAATTCTCAGAGTTCCAGAAAGAACTCCAAAAAAAAATTTAGATCTTCTAGATGTATGGTATACTTGTCTTAAAATACCATAGTTTTGACACAAAGTATCATATTCAAAATCAAAATTCGTATTCTCCCTGTACTCTGAAAAGGTCAAAAATAGGAAACTTATTCCCAACCTTGTGATTCTTCTGTGTAGTTTACTTTCTGTGTTGTTGTGAGTCCCCCTTCTGATGTATATATCCTCATTTTACGGTAGTTAATCCAGTTTTTCCTTTGGCTGACTGGTCCTTTCTTGTGGTGTCTTCACTTATTCATTCATCACACATTTGATGTCTTGCATTTGTTCGGCACTATGAGGAGGACCAGGGTCACAGCCTGTGAGCTGCACAGCCTCTGGCTTTATGGCGACTTACGTCACTTAACTGTTCCTCCGGAAACCGAACAGGTCGTACTGGTGCAGGGGTGTCATGTTATTCTCCTAAAATCATGATTTCTTCAAGGCACATATCATTTGAGCTTTTAAAATGTACTATTTAAAAGCTAATAGCCAAATAGTCCCTATCTTTAAATAAGTTCTACTTGACTTCAGGTAGAGTGAGTAGTATAACTGCCAGTTCTTATTACATGTAAAGTTTTCTTATATCGACCTAAAAAATAGTCACAACCTTAAAGTTGAGAGTTATGTTTTATCTGGTGGGAATTTTTAGGACTTCAAGCCCAGGAGACAGCATCTCAAGTGGCCCTGAGAGAACTGCTCTCAGGAGGGGAGGAGGAGCCAGGTTATATAGAAGTTTTTCAGCAAAGGGCAGGTATTCTGAACATCAAATGGTTAATTAAAGAAAATTTAATTAAATTTAAGAAGTTAAAAAACTAATTAAAGAAAACCAAGTGGCTCAGACAGTAGAGAACCTGCCTGCAATGTGGGCGATCTGGGCTCAGTCCCTGCGTCGGGAAGATCCCCTGGAGAAGGAAATGGCAACCCACTCCAGTATTCTTGTCTGGAAAATCCCATGGATGTAGGATTCTGGTGGGCTATAGTCCACGGGTCGCAAAGAGTCAGAGAAAACTGAGTGACTGACAACAACAGATAGCCTAAGTTAAGGGATTAGGCATGTTTCTGTGCATGGGAAGATGCAAGAGTCTGGGCTCACTGAAGTCATTCCTCCCACATGCCTCTCAGCTCTCTGAGCCCATGTTCCTCCGTTGGTCATTGATCACATCCTGAGTTCCTCCGTGCTCACCATAGGGAGTGGCTGTAGCCTGCAGCCTGCCAGATTGAGCAGGTACTGCTCTCCTTCCTGAGTACCCCTAGGACTCAGGGGTTCATATTGGAGGGCAGGAATCACTGATGACTGTGACATACTTGTTTGCTGATATGGCAGGAAATACTATCTTTCTTACTTAGAATATTTTGATTAAGCTCTCCAGCTTTTCCGTTTTCATGATCAGTATAGCAGCTTTGACTGTGCTGATAGATGAGAAGATCAGGCTGACTAGCCAAAGGAAAGAGACCAGCCAACACCTCTCTTTCATTCTCCTTAAGACCTTCGGCCAGAGGAGACTGTGACCCTGCACCCTTCCACTGTGGCCATTCTTCAACCATTGTTGTTATAAGTTAGGAAAGCATCACAGTAATTTTATATATAAATATTATGGGAATGTGTTATCCACAATAGGGAAATGTTTAAATAAACTACACTGTAATGGTAGGAAATGCTTTCTGTAAAGTGTTAAGTGAAAAAAATAACATACTAAATGACATGTAACAATAATAAACATATTAATAGTAATATAAATGTAATAATACCAAAAATAATACAATGGAAGAGCGGCCGACACGTTTTAAACAATCACTGTGTTGTGAACATGTTTTAAGTCTTTGCACTTATTAACCTATTTGGTGTCCTCATTTAATCCCCAGAACAACCCTATCAATTGGCCATTGTTAGCCAGTTTTTCCATGCGAACAGAAAAATGTGGTATAGAGAATTTAGGCAACTTGCTAGGTTCAGTGAAGACAGTTCAGGTCTTTAACATACTTGGATTGTGGTGGGGGGCAATTACAGACCTCAGACCTATACAAGAGGCTCACTCACTGTTGGGTGCTGTGTATCATCAGTGGGGCCGCAGGGATGCTATGTGGGTAGATGGGATCGGCATCAGCTGTGGATTCGGGAAGACTTCCATGTGGAAGAAACATGGAGCAGAGTTTTAAAGGAAGAGTTGGCTAGTTTTCCATCTGCATAGGCAAATGGGAAAAACCTACGATTTGTACGAAAAATGTTGCTCTCAGAAGCTGACTGCTACTTATCATTGGACTTAATTCCTTCATCTGAACAACACAGTCAATGTCTGCTGTTTCTTCATGGCTTATCTAATAAAAGAGAGTATTGAAAGCTCTATGGAAGTATTCAGTGCTATTTAATCATTTTAAATTCCTTAAATATATGACTGCCGATTTTCCTGTGGTTTCTTAGGTAGATATGATTGTGACCTTGGGAGGACTTGCTGGACGTTTTGACCAGATCATGGCATCTGTGAGCACTTTGTTCCAGGCGCCTCAAATAACTTCTTTGCCAGTTATAGTAATCCAAGAGGAATCTCTCACCTACCTACTCCAACCGGTAAGTGAGCATTAAATACAGCGTCTGCACTTTGCTTCTACAAAACCTGTAAGATTTTTGTAGATAAGCCGAAAACATCCACCCAGTTCATGTGTTTCAACTGAGTAAAGTTGACAAGTTTGACTGCCTCAGGTCACTTAAGGGGAAATAGGTGGAAGAGAAGCTGCAAAACTTTCATTTTGTTGTACTTAGAAAAACAAAACTAAAGAAAGAAAATAAGGTTTTTAATTAAAGTGATTAACAATTAAATTTAGCATTTTTGCATTTTGAGCAGCTGAATATGAGTGCCATTTGAGAAAAATCTCAGCAGAGGAAGCACAAAGCTTGGCAAATATTTCAGACGGAATTCTTGAATACTTTCAGTGCTGTCGCAATTGGAAACTGTATTTGATTTTGTGAGGTACTTAAAGTCTTTAGCTTTTACTGTTCATAAGTTGCTTGCTTGTTAATTTCATTTTCATGATGATGTCATTCATTTCCCATGATAAACAACAAGGGAATTTTCTATCATTGTAGTGCTTAGAACAGAAATCTTATTATATAAACATGTTTTATGAGGTTGATGGGTGTATTTCAGTTTGAAAAATAATAACTTGGTAACATTTTTTAAAAACAGTGGACAGTTGTGTTTTTTTTTTATCTTTTTTGCCTCTCATTGTAATGTGCTACATATAGCTTTGCTTCCACTCCATCTGCTGTTCACCATCTGTAGCTTGTCATTACCTAAAAATTGTTGTGTGGTTAATATGGCAAGTTATAATGCATGCTCACCATTGTTCAGCGACTTGTGCGTTGTTGTTCCCCCCCGCCTTTTTTTTTGTTTTTGCACTGCCTGGCTTTGTTGCTTTCTGTGAGATGTGAAAAGGAAGTTGAAGAATTCAGTCTTCAGACTTCATGCTGTCCATTTATTTGGTCAACAAATAGTTCCGGAGTGCCTGCTGCCTACCTGTTACACTGATGGGTAATTGAAGATTAAACAGAAATAGTAACATAGGTTCTTTAGAACTATAGTTCTGAAGATCTGTAGTACATGTCCAGTGAAGGAGACATTTATTAAACACAAACATAAAGCAAGACTGAAAGTTTAGGACATAAAGATGATGAAAGATTGTATAATCTGGTCATGGGTGTGGTAAAGAAATACTTGCAGAGGTATTTACATTTTATTCAATCAATTAACTCAACAAATATTTACTGAGGACCTGCTATGTGGGTCATGTACTATGTGTCAGGTACTTTTCCGAGGATACAGCAGCCAGCAAGAGCAAAACCCTTGCTTTCATGGAACATGCATTTTTTTGAGCTTACGTTTCAACAGACCCATGAAGGATGAGTAGATCTCTGTTATGGGAAATGATGGGAAAGTCATTCCAGTTAGAAGGAGCCACTAAAGAAAGACAGAGCTGCAGGGCATGTTGTGGGATCTGCGGGTAATACTGAGCCAGCCATATGGAAAATACCGAAATATCAGACTCAGAAGGCTCTGAGGTCCAGAAGACTCATTTAGATCCTGACTGTGAAAAGCCTTGAATGATATATACTAGAGTGTGAAATTTTTTGCCATAAGATATGGCTAAGTCATCAAAATAGTTCAGTTAGCAGTCTGAGCTGCACAGATATGCTTCTTAGATTTCTAATTAGGTCTTTGTTAAATACTTATAATTTCCCAACACTTTCTGAAGTGTGAAACTCTTTACAATTAAGAAGCTTTGAGTTTTATTGTTTTATTATGATTTATTTATATGATTCTATGAACACTTAAATAGTCAACTGTAACTTGTCTCTGTATAAATACTCTGGCTAAGAAATAACTAGATATCATAGGATAATTTTTTAAAAGTAAAGTTGGAACATCAACTGATAGCAAAAGCCTTGTCTAAAAATGACTTCTGCTGTTAAGATCTTTTCGTTGTCAGTGGTGTTCTGTACCTTCGTTGTATAAATATGGACTTCCTAAAATGTATTCAGCTTGGGATTTCTTAGAATTAATTCTCCATCTATAGATTGCTGTCTGTCCTCAGTTTGAAAAACTCACAGCCATTATGTTTTCAAATATTGTCCCATCACATTCTCTTTCTTTCTTCTTCTGCAACTCCAATTGAGTGTGTATATATGTGTGTGTGTATATATATATTTATATATATATGTTCCTCTAATTGCATCACATATATCTCAAAACTTCTTCATATTTTCTTAGTTTCTCTGGGCTGCATTCTGAAGTTCCTCTTCACTTCTGCAAACCACTTCACACTTCTGCTTTAGCTCTTCTATTTTGCTACTGAACTTATCCTTTTTGTACCAAAGGCTTTTAAATTCTTGTCGTGATTCATCTCTCTTATATACTTTCCTCTCACATTTTAAAAATTCTTAAAATGTAATTGTTGTACTTTCTTTATAGTCCAGAATAATTCTGATATCTGCTGTCTTTTCTGTTCTTTTTCCCTTTTATATTTTGTAACCTTGATTTCATTCTGTATTTTGTGATTTTTCTCTGTGACCTCGTATTTCTGGGAACTTTACCTGTGGGAATTACTTGAAATAGGAGTTAAGAGTGAGTCCAAGGAGACTCTGAAGTGGACTTCTAGCCCAGTTATTTATAGACACTAAAAGCTTAAGACCTTCTGTTTGAGATTTTTTGGGGACCATCTAGGTGGTATATATTTTGAAGCTAATTCTGCTGGGAGTTTGACTTCTGATTACAGATGCCCCAGGAAGACTTGTTCCTCTTCTCATCCAGAATTTGGTCAGCAGTTTTCCTGGCATTCCCGTGGGAGTGTTCTTTCTATTCATCTTTGCTCCGTGAGCCTCTACTTAGGCAGTGCAGTCTCCTTTTACGCTCCTATCTTGCTCAAGCTCACTCTCCTGATGACCTTCCATACTTGGAGGCTGGAGAAATTGAAGTGCAGTTCATGATTTGGTTAAAAAAATCAAATGCGTGTAAGATGAAAGTTAGATTTGGTGTTCCTTTTCAATCAAAACCTAGTTTTTGGGTTTTGAGTATTGTTTGGTGGGGGCGGGGGGGAATGTTTGATGCATTTTGAAAGATCCCCCCCCCCCTTTTTTAAGCTTTTTTGTTGTTGTCAATTAGCCAGGGTACTAATCTACCCTGGGTATGTTGCAGTGATAATTAACCCCCAAATCTCAGAGGCTTAACTGAGATTAAGCTTAATTTTTTTTTTTTCATTCATGAAGAATGTGCTGTGTTTTGGGAGTATGGTCCACTTTGTATCTGAGCCAGCTGGGACACATTGAGGCAGCAGGGATAAAAAGATAACTATAAGGAGTGGCACTGCATGTTTTCTTCTTTAAAATTTTTATAAATGTGTTTATTTTTTGGCTGTGTGGCATGTGTAATCTTACTTCCCCAACCAGGGATCAAACCCATGCCTCTTGCTTTGGAAGTGCAAAGTCTCAACTCCGGGACCACCAGGTACCACGTGTTTTTAAAAGCCAGGCCTGGCAGTGGCTTGTGTCGCCTTTGGTGGGAGCGCAGTTACTCTGCCCCAGCGCAGTGTGAGGTCGTCTAAGAGAGGAAGGCCGTGGGCTGGAAAGAGGGCTGAGCACAGGACGTTGTCTCTGTCGGAGGGCCAGAAGCTGATGTTGGGAGAGAAAGTCTGGGATCGTGACCCTACACAAAATGTATAGTATTGTAATCATCTTTTCTTTTCATTGGTAATATGTGTCAAAGTTTAATCAGTAAAGAGGAGACTCCACAGTTCCCCAAACATAGTGGTCATGATGAGTGTGCCTAACATACCATGAGTGTGTTAGTCACTCAGTCTTTGTGAGTCTGTGGGCTGTAGCCCTCCAGGCTCCTCTGTCCATGGAGTTTTCCAGGCAAGGTTACTGGAGTGGGTTGTCATTCCTTTCTCCAGGGGATCTTTCCCATCCAGGGGTTGAACCTGGGTCTCCTGCACTGAAGGCAGATGCTTTACTGTCTAAGGCACCAGGCCCTCTAGGATCTCTTTCTGGTCTGTTTGTTTTTGTCTTATTGAAATAGCTAGAAAATTATCTTATCCTAAGTGAGTAATGATTGCGTAGTGTGAAGCAGAAAGCTCATGTAAGATCACACCCTCCATCACATGGAGCGGTGAGAATGTTGAGCACAGACTTTGGTCTGGGGCCTTAGCAGGGCTGACCTGAGACGCATGCTGGGGGCCTGCTTCTCAGTCACTTGTTCTTTGTTCTGGAGCACAGTTGCTTCCCAGTGTTGTGTTACTCCTGCTGTGCAGCCATGCGTATGCACATATCCCCCCGTTTGTGGGTCCCCTCCCATTTAGTCACCACAGAGCACTGAGTGAGGAGGGCCTGGCACCCACTCCAGCACTGTTGCCTGGAGAGTCCCACGGACAGAGGAGCCTGCCGGCTGCAGGCCCTGGGGACGCAGCGTAGCCGCGGCAGAGCGCTGAGCAGGGTTCCCTGTGCCGTGCGGTAGGTTGTCATCAGTTACCTATTGTATACACAGTGTCAGCAATGTACATGTGTCAGTCCCAGTCCCTAGTTCATCCCACCCCTCCCCATCATCCCTCCTTGGTAGCCATACTTTTTTTTCTCTACGTCTGTGTCTCTGTTGCTGTTTTGTAAATATTATAATCTGTACCACTTTTTCAGATTCCACCCATGTGCGTTAATACACCTGATATGTTTTTCTGACTTACTTTACTCTGTATGACAGACTAGTCAGTCAGCTTCCAGGACAACTGCAAAACCCAAAATGAGTGTGTTTGAGGGCTTAAGATACCAATCGGTCTTATATACTCTGCCATATTTTTAAGCAGTTTTAATGGTATACTTATGAAATGTGATTAACACCAAAAATCTGTTAAAAGCTATATTAAAATTATTGCAGAGATTCAGCCTACATCCTAGAAATGAGATATGTACCATGGGAGATAAAATGACTGTGTAATGTGTGTTTTCACATATCTCCATGTTATATGTTGCACATGTAATAAAGCACACATCTGTATTTGGTAGTGTGCATGTTGAAGATGGATGTC